AAAAGTGTGTACTTATTTTGGATAGCCAAACTTGGCTTAATGTTAGAAATATATGCTAGCTAGCATTTATAGTTATCTTATTAATGTAAAAAACATTTAAAAAATTGTATTTAAAACATGACAAATACAAGCAAGGTTCCCTTAATTATTATTTAATATTGGGATTGCAATGAAAAATATATATAATTATTTTGAAGTATATAAACAATATATTAAAATTATAAAATTATAAATATTTAATCATTTTATATTCATTAATATAGCCCTTAGAACCCTTTTAAAATACCCACACATATTCAAATTAAACATAATCTTCATATTTAAATGTGATATCAATATAGAAAATAAAATTCTAAAAACAATTTTTTAGGTTGATGTTAGTATGAAAAATGTGTAAACAAGTTGAATGATGTAAAAAAATTTAATAAATAAAAACAGTTAACTAAAGAAGGAAAGAAAGAAAAGTAAAAAAGGAAAAAATGTAAATGGTGGGGTGGGTCAACTCAACACTGATAGCGAATGAACGATGATAAAGATTTGGTTAAATAATTAACGTGTGATTGTGAGTTGGACGAGAGCGATGGGCATGTGATTAGGCCAATTTTTTAAGTTAGGGTGAATTATCTCGGTAATTTTTATATTTTGATTTTTGTAATTTAATTGTGACATAATTTTAATTTTGAATTTATTATTTTATATAAATATCTCAATTTGATTCAATTGATTAAATTATTTATGTTTTTTGATAAAAAAAATATATTCATGAGCGGCATATATCATATTTTTACAAATAAAATTATAAATTTGTTTAACTCAGTGAGTTAATTTTAACTAATTTAATAATTATTTTTTATTTAAAACCCCTAATCAATGTTATTAATTGGATTAATTAACATAAAATATAAAATGAAGTATCAAAATCAAACTAATTAAAATTATAAATACCAACATAACATACAGAAATAAAGAAATTTTTTTGAGATATTTAATTTATCATTCTTAAAAATTACTCTTAATAATATGTTTGACTGACGAGTATCAAATTTTAATTTGTTAAATATTTTATTATGTAAAATTTAATTTTAATATCATATCATTAAGAATCATTTAATAGTAAAAAATCAGAGAAGGTAGCATTGTTACGGCCAATGTACGTGAGTGATTGGTCACTGGGATTACTGTCCCCCCGTTTCTTAGGCCTGGTTTGGCATCTACTATATAATCTATCTTTTTATCCTTTTATCTTTTTTCCATCACATCACCTCTCTACTTTTCTGCACATCTTTTCGTAAAAAGACAAAAAATGCACTTTTTTATGACATCCCAAACCAACCCTTAGTTTCACTGCATTTGGTGTTCCTATTTTCTTGGTTTGTATTTTTTTTAAAAAAATATTTGATAATTTAAATTTGTGTGATTTGAATAGCTTGAATGTAACAAATGATGTCGTTTTAAGACATTTAAGTCATAAAAATTTATACTATCAAGCGTTGTTGCTTTTTAAATATTCTTTTTTTTGGGATTCCCTCGGCTAAAAAAATTGTAACCAATTAATTTTTCTTTTAAAAAAATGACTCACTCAACTTTTCCATTAAGGACAAACAATAATTATATTCACATTTAGTAAACACATCAATTTTTTAATAATAAGTTTTGAAAAATGTTGGAAACAATCCAATCCAGTATTTAAAAAATATAAAAAGTATATTAAAGTTATAAATATATTGACATTTTATGTTCCTCATATGAAAAATAAAAATATTTATTAAAAAGGCAATTGACAAGCTGATCCTTAAAAGTCAATAATTTAATTTTGATGCCCAAGGGCACCAATGATGCCTTTTTAGGTTGGTAATTAGGTTGTTAGGTAGAGATGCCCATCACACTAGGATGGCTATGAAATTAATTTAGCTTTGTTAAATTAGCCTCTTACATTGTTAGCTACAACCTTAAGGTTAGGAGTGGATTAATGTCATAACAGTGATTATTGTGTCTTAATTTGAGGTATATTATGGGTCTATTTTTATAATCCGAACCGTTCATTTTGTATGATTTGTTCAGTTCTTCGTGCCTACCAAAAATTATATTAATCCGATATCAATAACTATATGATCGAATTGCATATTTTTTATGTTATTTTTCAAAAGAAAAACTTATTGTTTATTTTTTTTGTTATCGATCATATAGTTATTGATATCCGATTAATATGATTTGTGGAAGGCATGAAGTAGCCAATAAACCCTACAAAATGACGGTTCGAATTATAAAAATAAACCCATAACATATCTTAAATTGAGACACAATAATTAATGTTATGCTAACCCTTAAACCGTTAGGAGTTTAGAAAAATAAAAAATAATTAAAGACTTTTAGTTTGTGTACAAGTTTCAAGGTTTGGAAATTTTCAAGCGGAAAGTCAATGGCATGTTTAGAAAAATTTAGGTCCGTTTCATTTAGTTTTAAAAGACAGGATTTAAGTATGGAGTTGTGATTTAAGTGTCGAGTTATAAATTAAGTTATGAAAAGAAAAAAATGTGTTTGATTATGAGTTTTGAAATTTTTTTTGAGTTTTTTAATTTTAAATTTTAAAAGAAGTTTTGAATTTTAAAAATAAATTTCAGTTATGTTTTAAGTTTTGAGTTTTTAAATTTTAAATTTTGAATTTTAAAAACGTTATTAACACTCGTATGACTTTTAGGAGGCAATTGCTAACTGAGTTGTCAATATAAGGAGAAAATTATGAAAATGAGTTAAAATTTCAAGGCATTTTTTTTGACACATCCTAAAAGTATTATTATATATTTTCATAAATGTTTTCAAATAATTTAAATACACCTTTTACGTGTGAACAACCATTTGAGTGATCCTAAACAATTTCTATATATTATTTAAATTATACATTTGGCTTGCTATATATAGCTAAAATTTAATTTATTGATGTTATTGGCTTGTAAATTGATAATTTAGATATTGTTGTTGGTAACATCATTATTAATAATAAGGGTTGATTTTTTTTTTACAACATAAAATTCTAAAAATTATCACATATTACACACTTGTTTTAAGTGTATAAGGAAACCAAGTTAAGAAAGCAAAACTATGCTTAATTACCAAGCATTGCTTGTACAACATATCAATTTTAAAAAATTTTAAAAAAAATTATTTCAGTGATTTTTACTACTAAAGTTGTAAGGAGAATATATAACAAACTATCTGCAATTAATACAAGAAGTACAATTACATCAAATTAGAGATACAAATTGAGCAATTTGAGTGAAATAATATTTTTAATGATGAATTTTACAATCTCATCTATATAATTAAAATTATTTGATGTGATTAATCCTCCAATGAGATTTGTTTGCCCAAACTTATTGTAGTTAAAAAAAACGTTGAGATCTTATTTTTTTCTTGACTTTCATCATTCCCAGTGTATTGAGATTGGTCAATTTTTTACTTTTTATTTTTTGTTTAATTTTTTCTCCTATCATTCACTAGCATGCGTCTATGAAAATTGTGAGAATCAAGAAAAAAAAAAAAAAAGTCTCTACCATTTATGTTGTAGTTATTAGGGTGAAAAATGGTAATTTAGCCAAATGCAGGTTTAGGGTTGGCTAGAAGCTACTTGTCACCAAAATAAAAAAATAAAAAAATAAAAACAAAAATAGAAGCTAGCTATAGCTAGGACTGAAAACTGCTTCTATTTATTTTTAGGAATTTGTAAAACATCCAAGAAAAGTAGTTTTCTTCGGATCTAATGATGCTGACAACTCCTAGAAGCTGGAATTTATCATTCAATTTCAGTTGGGTTTTGACTTAGATATATTAGAACATCTCCAAAGGTAGTAGGCATTTTATCTATCTAAATATTACTATAAAGTATATATTTTATTTTGCCTATCAACTATTTCATGTTTTTACTCCAATCATGCTCTTTATTTTAGCTATTTATCCAAATGCTATTAATTTTATAGAATGCCACGTCAACAACAAAGATGGAGGGAAATGATCCTAATGACTGAATACATTTTGCCTAGCGTTGAAGGCTAGCTACATGTAGCTAGTGAATATGAGTTGAGCCAAAATGCCTAATCATATGCCTAGTGCATTGGAATTGAAAAAAGTGAATCACACTAGGCATTTTAACTAACAAGTATTATATGCCTAGTGCATTGGAGATGCTCTTATACTTGAATTATTTTAGAAATTGAATATTTTAACTTTGAAGTGTTTAAAATTTAAGAAAAATTGCAATTCAGTACAAATTCAGATTTTTTTTTTTATAAATTAACAGTAAATTTATAAATATTAATAATTATAATTATAATTTCCCCATGTATTTGTATTTTTTTTAAGAAGACCATTGAATTGTAACTCTCTAAAATTTACCGATCAAATCTTTAAGAATTGTTTGATGGTATTCAACAAAGTCAATTGTTTTATTTTTATTTTTTGAAAAAAATTAAAAAAATTAACTAAAATAGTCAATTTTTAAAAATAATAATGTTTGATAAGTTGTAGAAGAGGTAGTGAGGAGTGGAGGGTAGATGAATGTGTCGTAGGAAATAGTTGGTGGCTAGAAGAAAGAATGAAAAATTATTTAGAAAATAATTGAAAATAATTTTTATTTATTTAAAAAATGAAATTATAAACAAATTTTTATTTAAAAAAAAATAATCATGGTATACCAAATAAGTTTACATTTTTTATTAAAAAAATAAAATCGTTGCCATACAAGGCAAGGCATCACTCAATCCAATTTTTATACGGCTGATTTTTTAATTTTTTTTTATTTATAAAAGTGACTATTAATATCATTATACCATTAACTTTTATATAATTAAATCTCACTGATACAAAAACCAGTTCAAGAAAAAAAACTACTGATAGTGTGGTATCATTAACCACCAATAAGCTTTTATATTGCGATTTAACCCCACTTTAATGAATAACTACATTATTATATATACATGATAAGGTGAATGATAAGAACGTATTAGATGGTGATACTGATTATACTCAGGTCTATTTTGTCGAGAAGTAAAATATTGTCATGTTTGGTTTGAGTTTCTAAACTATTTTTAATTTTTTTTTGAAAAAATATAAATTAGTCTGACAAAAATTAACATAAAAAATATATTTTTGAATTTTAAAAATCATTTATATTAAAAACAATAAATACTTTTGATTTTTTTTAAATTTTTTTATGAAACTAATTTTTAATTTTTTGGAAAAAGTTTCTAAAACAAGTTTTTGAAAATCGTGACATGTAAAAATATCAATTATTTTCTTTACTTTTCTATACATTTTTAAAAAAAATTAAAAAATCAATTAAAATAACTAATTCTTAATAGTCGAATAGCCACAAAAAGATAAAATAGTTTAAAAATTCAATAAGATAAAATATCATATTCAAATCATAATTATTTTTTTCTCACAAAATTTTAAAAAATTAAAAATCTATTCCAAATAAAATTTTTTAATCCTAATTTAAAAAATTAAAAAATCTATCCACATCTCAAAATCCTCACTCAACTTTATCTCAATGAGGTGGAGGAGCACCGAATAATAGCTGGAGACGTTGGCCAAACGAAAGAGAGGTGTCGTGTGACTTTAGGAGACCCCCTCCACATAAAGGCTTTGATTGAAAAGTTGGGTTATTTTAGTTAACAGTGACGATAGATACCCTCATAAAATATAACTTTCATAATTTTTAAAATGGTCTGAACTATTCATATTATTGTTAAAAATAATTTTAAAAAAAAAATTTCAAACACGTTAATGATCAATATATCAGTAAAGGTTGTGGGAGTCTTCCTTTGTGGGGTCTCAAACATTTTTCTTCAGTTAATTATTTGATATTTTAATTATTTTAGTCCGCTTAAGAAAATTGTGTTTGAAAGTTTTTTTTTAATATTATTTATAGTTAATTGAATGGTTGTGAGAGAAAAAATAACATGATTATTGATTGAATGTGACATTTTATCTTATTAATTATTTTAATCTATTTTGCATTTTAAAAATTTAGAAGGAGTTTGGCATGTGTTAAAATAGTACATGTTATTTTAGCATATTATTTTGTTTGAGTCACAATCATCTTATTTTGATCACATTGCCTCTTTATTACATCACTCCAAACACAACTTAACCTATATTTTATGTTTTTTTATTATTATAGAAAATCAAAAAATATATTTATTTAAATCATTCTAAATGCCCCTTAGGCTTCCTTTGGGAAGAATGGGTTGGGTGGGTTTAAGGCTATTTTAGTCACAAAAAAATAAAATAGATTTTTTAATTCAATAAGACAAAACATCACATCTAACTTATAATGATTACATTTTTTTCTCACAAAAAATTAAAAAAATCATTTCTAAATAAGACTTTTTAATCTCAAATTAAAATAACTAAAAAATTAAAAAACCAAGTTACTTCCCACACCAACGCAAACGTATTGAGTCCTAACATTTTTCTCTATACTTTCTCTCCCTCTCTCTCACTAGAGAAAAATATGGATTGAGGGATAAGGAAGAATTAGAAAATGTTTGAAATGAATTAGAACAGTGAATAAAATAACACACTTTATCACATTAATCTCCTTATTTTTTATATGTATTTTTATGAAAAATCAAATGACTAATCAAAATAATTTTTCAATGGGCCTTAAGCCTTATTTGGAGATTAAATATTTTAGTCAAAAAGTTATTATAAATTATTATATCACTTTATATATTTTTTTATACACATTTTTATAAAAAAAATTTAAAAATTATTAAAAGCTCGTTTGGAAAGTATGGGTTTGGAATTTTTTGACTAAAGTAGTCATAAAAAAATCAAAATTGACTTTTTAACTCAATAAGACAAAACATCACATTCAACCTATAATCATTACATTTTTTTTCTCACAAAAAATTAAAAAAATTAAAAAGTTCTTTTCAAATGAGACTTTTTAACCCCAGACTAAAATAATCAAAAAGTCAAAAAATCAAAAAGACAACCCACTTTCCAAACGAGGCACGCCAGACTTTTTGACTTGTTAGTTATTTTAACCATAAAAAGATAAAATAAGTTTTTTTATCCCAATAAGACAAAACATTATATCTAAATCATAATTATTTTATTTTTTCTCTCACAAAAATAAAAAAAGTCAAAAAGCTTATCACAGATGAGACATTAAAGCCCTAGGCTAAAATAAAAAAAAAAAAAAAAAAAAAAAAAAAAAAAACTAAAAAATCAATTCACATTCAAAACCAACCCTAAAATATTCTATTTCCAAAACGAAACCTTTGTGTTAGATGAAAAAGAAGGAATAGGAAGAAATGATGTTGATCCGATGAGAGAGAAAGGTCGGCAACAATAACAACAAACAATCAGAACAAAACAAAACATAAAAAGAGAGGGAATCGAAGAAGAGAGAAAGGGTGGTTATTGCAATATTTTTTTTTGGTTTCTCTGCACTTTCCCTTTCTCAAAGTATAGTCCCTCTATCAAACCAACTTTTTTCTTGCATAACAAACACAAAACCCAACTCACACTAGGGTAAGGCCAAGTTTGAGAAGACTAAATAAGTGCACTTTTTGTCTTTTTGGACTAAAAAATTGAGGTTGAAAATATGGATGTTTGGGTTAACTTTTTGACTTTTTATTGAAAAATGTGTAATAAAAAATTGTAAAAATTGATTTGTAGGAAAAAATTTGAATTGAGAGTTGTGCAGCCGTAATTGTTGACTTTTGGTGAATAGTGTTAACTTTTTAACTTTTTGAGTAACTTTTTGGCTTTTTGACTTTTTGAGAATATCCCAAACTTGGCCTAAGTAAAGCAGTAGTAGTAGTAGTGGTACCCAGTTCTATTGAAGCAGAGCTATAACAGTCCTGCACTGCATCAACAACAGTAATTAGAGGGAGAAAGAGAAAGAGAAAGAGAAAGAGAAAGAGAAAGAGAAAGAGGAGAGAGATAGAGAGACAGACAGACTCATCCCTCAAGATCTATCTCCTCCTTCCCCTCTCTCTATCTCTCAAAATCTTTCTTCTACCTGAATTTCAAGATTTACAGTTTATTTATTTATTTATTTATTTTTGACTTCTAGATGAATTTTAAGATTTTCCAAGATTTACAGTTGCTTTTTTTGCAGAGTAATTAGATACTGAAATATCTCTCTCTCACTCTCTCGAAGAGCTTTCTTCTACTTGAATTTCAAGATTTACAGTATTTTACATACAGTATATCTAAATCTATATATATAGAATCTCTCTCTCTCTCTCAAAGTCTTTCTTGTGAATAATTTTTCAGAGACCCCACTTACATAACACCCACATAAATAAAGATTTTCAAGATTTACATTTTTATTTATTTATATATATACACTGAATTTTACTTGTCTCTATATATATGTAGACATCTAAAGATTGGAATTGTGGCTACTACAAGGAGACTCCCTTCAGATTCCGGCGCTTTCTCAGACTGGTTGGCTTCATCTTCCTCCTCCAGCCGCGTCGGCGCCGAAGAATACCTCTCTCTTGGCTTCAATGCCACCATCCCCACCGCCGCCGCCGCCGGCGGAGGAATGTGGTCCACCACCACCACTCGCCAAATCAATTACAGCCAGCTTCCCCCAGAAATGGGCATGGTGGGTCTCCGCGACCTCTTCGTCGTCGCCCCAGCTTCCTCTTTCCACCACCACCATGAACCCACCATTATTTCCGATCCCCACGGCGGCGCAGCCACCGCCCTCGGCGTCTTCCCTGTCCTAACAGCATCGCCGTACATCGACCAACAGCCGCAGCATTCGAATTTTCTGCAAAGCGGCGGCGGAATTGGTGGTGGGTCGGTGGTGGCGACGTGTGAAGAGTGTGGAAACCAGTCGAAGAAAGATTGTAGTCATAAGAGGTGTAGGACTTGTTGTAAGAGTCGAGGTTTTGATTGTGCCACGCATGTTAAGAGCACTTGGATTCCGGCTGTGCGCCGCCGTGAGCGCTACCACCTTACGGCGGCGACGGGGGGGCCTTGTGGGTCGACATCATCTGCGGCTAAGAAAGCTAGACTGGTTGCTGCTTCACAAACCACCACCACCACCACCACTACTTCGCACACATCGGCTTCTAACAATACTCCTCCGAGAAGCTTTGATACTAGTTCTAGTCACAAAGGTTTGTGAGCTTTTCAATCTTTTCTATCTCTACATACATATAGCTATTTCATGTTTTGAACATGAACATTTCTGCTACACAAAATTTCACACAACTTAAGACAAAAAATAGTATTTATAACTTTAAATTCTCATTTGAATTGTCATAGTTATATTATAATGGGAAATTATTCAATAATATTTTCGGAGCATTACGAGTCCATACTCTAAGTCAATTATCAATTATTTAGCTCCACGTTGTTCTCTCATTCCCAATATCTTATTCCCAATATAAATCGTAGGCCGTTACGCCTTTCCATTAATCAAAATCTTATGAAGCACCACACATGTACTGAACACTCGATTATAACATCCGAGTGTATCAATGAGTTGCCATTGAAATAGTCAAATTTTAACATTGCTATTAGTATGGTTCGGTCTATTTAGTGCAATTCTGTATCAGCGAAAGAAAGGTCATAATTTGAAAGCCGAGACCGAAAATATCATTCTCTTAATTTTTATATAATTAAAATTTTTAAGTAAATTGTAAACAGATCCCTAAAATTTCACTAAATAATTTGACACGATACGCAAAATAAAATAAAAATAAGAGTTATAAGCCATTAATATAAACTTCACCAAACAGTTCCAATATCAAATTTAGGATGACATTGCCAAATATTGGCTATACCACAACACAAAAGCCAAAATTTGGTAATTTTACTGTTATGCTTGTGTTGATTTTTTTTAATTTTTTATTTACAACTACCATCTCATTTTCCAAAGTCTCTAAAATACTTCAAGTCTATGAAATTTGGCACCAATAGTAATGTCCAAATTCATCTACTTTAATGACAGCTTCATTGGAGCAGCCAACTACTAGAGTTGCAGACCGTTAAATTTTAGCATCTAATAGTGGTTAGAAAGATCAAATCATAGTTGTGTTAAAAATAATATAAGAATCATAATAAAATTGTCAAATTTTAGCATTTTTTGAAATATAGTATCGCTAAGATTTGTCAATGACATGCCAAATTTGATATTTACCGTTAGAAATGCTCTCTAACAATATACATGAACTTTTGCTTTCTTTTTTTTTTTTTTATGTATATTTTGTATTTGATTCTGTGATCGGTTCTTAAAACATATGCGCAGGGGCAAGTTTTAAAGAGGGATTACCAGGGAAAGTCCGAGCCCCAGCTGTGTTCAAGTGTGTTAGAGTCACCGCCGTGGAGGACGGCGGCGGTGGTGACAATGAGTATGCATATCAAGGTGTAGTAAAGATTGGTGGACATGTCTTCAAAGGCTTCCTATATGATCACGGTGTTGAAGAAAGAAATGGTTTCCCCAACATGTCTCAGCTCAATTTGGGCAGCGGTAACAGTGGTGGTGGTGGTGGTGGAGGTCCAATTCTTAATGCTATGGACGCTTACAGTGGCTCTGGTGGCGGATTGCTTGGAGTTTCATGCTATGGTAACCAAATAAACTGATTATTGTTAGTACTTTTTCTTCTGGGTTTTAGACTATAATGACGACTTGGAAGGAATTTCAATATTAGTCTAATTTCTATTATTTGTCTACTAAATTATCAGTAGGGTTGCACTAAATTTTCTTTGTAACACTGCATGTTCATTAAATTATGTGTGTTAAATACACTATTGGTCCTCCCAAGTACTCGGTACCGTGTTATTTTGATTTTTGATATTTAAATTCTATTTATATGGACCACATTGCTTGTCTATTCAAATTTTATAACATAAGCAACTCTTTTCTTGCTGAATAAGATACTGAAAAATTGTAGGGATCCCAAATATTTTACCAATATTTGTACTAAATGTCCCGGACATGGATATGGGACTTACGTGGAACACTCATGTAAAACATTTGATACAAATATTAATAATACATTTGGGACCCCTTACGTTACTCTAAGATACCCCACACTGTCTCCTGCATTTATTCTTGCATTTTGAATTTCTTTAAAGCTTACATGTGAAACAACTCATCTCCATATTAATTAGATCAGTTTGGCATATATATCCTTTTCTTGTGCTGCTGGCTTTATATGTGTTAAAAAATGTTTTATGTATTGAGATTTTTTTTTTAAGAAATAGAAAATTTGACATTGCATGTCATGTAAGCAACGATATTTGATTGTATTGGCATCCCATAGGTTATGGATAATGTTCGGGTTGGACTTATAACACAACGCAGAATAAGGTGCCTTTTTGGTTGGGAGTCCAAATAAGTAACCTGTGAGCGTGATTGTTGATTGAAACATACCTGATAATAATGAAAAAAGTTAGGGATTATGAAATTTTTTTCATGAAAATGATCATGAAAGATTTATGATTTTTAGATTACCTTGATTAGTGTGTGGTATTTTATTCTAAATGTAATTCAAGAGTCACAAAGCTTTCATGATTATTTTCATGAAAAGTTTTTCATGATACCTATTATTGCTGGATAATAATTCTAGATGAGCTAGGCCCATTCTCTAACATGGAATTAGAGCCAGATGGGGATGTTAGCTTCCTACATCGGTTGTAGACAATGTCCAGGGTGGATTTATATATATTGATTCCTTTCATTTCTGTTGCTGTAATCTTTGTAGATTAAGAAAATATTTAAATGCATCTGATGTAGGATGCCAACATTTTCTTTCACTTTCTCATTTTATAGATATTTTTCATTTTTAATCTTGTTTTTGCTTCAATTTTTACTTAGCATATGCATGACTTACTCAAGGTTGAAACAACATTACTTCACTTTTGCAATAGTTCGATGTATATATAACCTTACAGTTTTCCTATGAGAAAGCAAACAAAGAATAAACAAGATTTAACAGAATTTGTTAAGACTCTGAAAATTAGGTCCATTCATATATATATATATATGTATTGTGTTCTTGAACTTTTCTGAAAAATTCATGCATACATTCTTGTCAAAATGGTTCTATATTATTTTAATTGCCATGTAAAAAGCATGTTATATATTGTTCATGTCAATTTCTTTGTTGTTGTGTATATTAAAATGTTTTTGAGTAGGTATGGTTTGGTGGTTGATGTATATGCACCTAGTGGATAGATTGTAAACCTTGGTGTTACCATTGGTTCTTTTGCTAATTAAAAAAGGTTCATGGTATATATCTGTTTTGAGTTTGAATAAAATATAAACAAAAAAAAGGAAATTTATAAAATAAAAAACAGTATTTTATCTGGCAAGAAATTAAACTACTTTTTAATTATTTTAATTTAAATCTTCAACTTTTAAAATGATATCAATTATAGTCATCAACCACTACTAGTGGATTATGAATAATTTAGATAATTTAATCACTTTTTATCACTCCAAAAAAAGTCAGTTTTAGCGATTAAAATATTGGTCGCCAATTGTCTATTTTTTGGTCGCCAATGACATTCTGCGATCAAAAATTTTGGTCGCTACGTTTGTCGCTAAAACCTTGTTAGGAGAGGTTTTGGAGGGTTTTGTCGATCAAAAAACCTTTGGTCGGCAAAAAGCAGGTCTTTAGTGACCAAAATTTTGGTCGCCAATAATCAATGAATCGCTGACCAACACCTTTAGTCGCCAAAAGGTTCAAATGTGGGAAAAAAAAAATTTGTTGTAGAACAATTTGATATCCGCTCTTGCGGAGGCTTGAGCCACCAACGTCCTCCTCCCACACCATAAACTTCATGCACCACACTTTTCCCACTACGCCTCTATAGCACTACATAATTATACATGTGTCATATATTATTTATATAGTACATACACCCATATTAATATAAAAAGATATGTATAAACATAATTATTTTATTACATAATTTATGTAAAATAAACTATTTAGAAGCAAAATAAAAAAAAAATTAACTTTTAGCGACCAAAATAATTTTTGTCGCTAAAAATGACCACTTTTGGCAACTAAACTTTTTTTTTTGTCGCCAATTGTAGACTGTTGACTACTAAAATTTTTTTAGTCACCAAAAAGTTTTACTTTTGGCTACTAAATTTTTTTTAGTCGGTAAAACCTATATAATCAGCGACCAAACTTATTTTTAGTTGCCAATTGTAGACTTTTGGCTACTAAATTTTTTTAGTCCCCAAAAAGCTTTACTTTGGGCCACAAAAAAATTTTTAGTCACTAAAACCCGTATGATCAGCGACCAAACTTATTTTTAGTCGCCAATTGTAGATTTTTGGCTACTAAAATTGTTTAGTCGCCAAAAAGTGTTACTTTTTGCTACTAATGCTGTTTTGGTCGCTGAAAGCTATACTTTCAGCGACCAAATTTTTTTTAGTCGAGAAATTTGGTCGTCGAATGTGCTTTCTATTGCTAGTGTTAAACGACAACAATGGCTATGGATTAGGAAAAGGAGAAGAGAGGTGACAATCAGTGGGAAAATAGGAGTAGTAGTGGTACATGGGGAAAAGAGATGATGGAATTGGGATTCACCTCCTCCCTAGCAGTCTTATCGTTCAGCAGTTTCAACAGGATTGTGACAAGTTGTGGAGCAGCGATCCAAAGGATTCAAAGCTGCCACGTTGTGGAGGAACAAATGGATTTAGTAAAAGGCGTCGTTTGAGAAATACCACGTGGTTTAGTCATAACATATAGCAATAATGGTGTGTTTTGTATCTATTGCTTCTCTCAAACACTCTTAGACAAATCTCTCAAATCTATCCAAAAGGAAGTAAAGTTACCTCTCTCTCTTCTATTTTTTTTTGGGGGGTTAAGCTCTTTTCTTGTTCTTACTTAAGGTAGAGATGAAAGAGGTCCTTGGAAAAAAAGCTTTACAGTGAAGTGGCTCTTGGGCGTTGAAATTTTTTGACAAATGTTGAGTAGGAATGGGGTAAATACACAGTCACCTTCTCCGGCAATGAACCCACCCAAAATTCCAACCAATTCCACCAAATTTTCAATCAATAGGCCCAATCCTTTAACCAAACCCTCCTTAATGAAACTAGGTTTCCACACCCACCACCATTTCCATCAAAACCCAAACCCACTTTCACTGCAACATCGGCATGAAAATTTCTTCTCCTTCTTAATTCACCAAACTTCCAAATCCTAATCATATTTCAAGACTCCAATTTCACATTTCTCAAATCCTTTGGCTGCATTCAAATCCTATTTCACATTTTTCATTCAAATTCTCCTCTAAAACTAACCTCTTAGAATGTTAGAGAAAATATATGATTTCCCACAAGTAAATCAATCAATGAGAATAAAAACTAATGCGAAAAAATTAAATCAACAGTGACACACGAATTTTACGTGGTTCTCTCAATGTGAGATACATCAACGGGATTGAAATCTGCTTCCACTATCAACCAAAGAGTTTCCAAACGATTACAAATGAGACACAAATAGTCTTACAAAACCACCCTTAGTGAATTTCAAATAATCACAAATAAACAAGAAGAAAGATCTCACCAAATAGATGAACAAAAGTCTTTGAAATAAAATTGTAGCAGATCCAAAATAATAACCCAAATCAATCTCCACTGAAACAACCAAATATGCACCAACTTGATTCCACACAAAAACAGTGCACCAACTTGATTATACACAAAAATAGCACCCTTCAATATGCACCCAAGAATCAATGTTGGTTGCCGCTCCACTCAACTTCGGGAAAAACAAAGACAATCTTTATATATATTGTTGAATTTGGGGTTTTTTTTTTTAAATATCATAACCCTACGTGCTACTAAACTGATTATAAAATATCTATTGGACTTCCAAAAGTCAGATATAATATATAAAATATATTATAATCAAACCAAACCAAACCAAATTAAAATTCTTTTAATAAACCAACTGGGTCTCATACTCTACTAAGGAGGTATACTCAACAATTCTCCCCCTACCGACTTAGGTGGAGACATCAACCATACCCACTAAAGTTCGCCATTTCACATGTTTGTCCTTCGACATAGTCTTAGTTAAAATATTCGAAATATTATCATCTGTGTGAACCTTTTCGAGTTGCAACAATTCGAATCTAACATATTATGAATCTAATGGTATCTCACATCAATGTGTTTTGATCTCGAATGAAAAGTATAATTTTTACTTAAATGAATAGCACTTTGACTATCACAATAAAGCACATACATTTTTTGCTTCAAACTCAACTCTTGCAAAAATTTCTTTAACCATAATTCTTCCTTGTAAGCTTCCGTAATGGCAATAAATTCAACTTCAATAGTTAAGAAAGCAACACATTTTTGTAATTTTGATTGCCATGCCATAGCTCCCCCTGCAAATGTCATCACATACCCTGAAGTAGATTTCCTAGAATCAACATCACTGGCCATGTCAGAATTTGTGAACCCATCAGGCATCGGTTTACCATCCCTAAAACACAAACACACCTTCAAAGTCTCTTGAAAATACCTTAGAATATATTTTACCGCTACCTAATGTTCTTTTTCCGGATTAGAGAGAAAACGACTCACCACACCAATGGAGTGAGCAATATTCGGCCTTATACAAACCATGGTGTACATCAAAGAACCAACCGCTGAAGCATAAGGAATTTTCTGCATCTCTTTCTTGTCTTTCTCACTTGTAGGACATTGATTTGAACTAAATTTGAAGCGACCAGCAAGAGGACAACCAACCGACTTTGCTTTATCCATGTTGAACCTCTCAAGCACTTTCTCAATATAACTTTTTTGAGACAAACAAATCAGCTCCTTTTTGCGATCACAAACAATTTTC